GCGGTGCATTATGTTAGGATGGATAGGTGCTTTCTAACATGTGTCACTTTTTCTCATCTTCCTTTTCCAAAACAGGACCAATTGCAAGATTTTTTTTTTTTTGTTGGACAAATGAAGGTTTATAGGAAGCTTTGAGTTGGACTTGGCTCCAACTATTTAAAACTCAAATGTAACACCTCAACTGGAAAGGAAAGAACAAAATGTGAGTGGAAGCACTGGCTGAATGATTACACAGTTGTGTGACTTGGAGTAGTATTTTTGACCTTTTGTGTATATTTCGTGTTCGTGAACAGGTATAGTCTGATTGAAGATGGCATAAAACATATTTTTACTCTTGCTTTTGGCATAATAAGTTGTATGATTTACTGATTGTGGGTTTTGCTTGTGGCACTGTAGGTGGTGGGATTGAAATTTTACGTTCCGGAAGAGTTCTTTGGAGCATAAGATGACCTTTCCATCTGCCGCCTCAACTTTTTGTGGGCATATATACTTTTTCTTGGTAGACTAGTGTGGACACCATGGGCGATGTACTTACTGTGTGGTAGTATGGTTAATCTTCTCGGTTGGCTCATTGGAGCCAATTTATCTGGTGGCTGCAGAACAAGCAGCGGATTCTCTCAAAAGATTGATCTCAGTCAGCGTCAACGTTCTGTTCCGCATGCAATGTATTCACAATCGTGTCTTTTTTATTTATTTATTTATTTTTTCTTTGACCGCCCTTCCCCTCCAAATGAATTGAAAACACAGCTTTAGCTGTTGCAGTGTACAAATTCGGTTGCTGCATGCGAATGGTTGACGGTGGCCGGGGATGGCCGCTTGTGCTGCTGCTGCCCGCTTATATGGTTGACGGTGGCTGGGGAAGGCAAAAGCGGCTGACCCCAAAGATTTCCGTTTTGGTAATCGAACTCTTCTCAACCATTCTCCAGGCTAGGCAGACATATGGTCCTTCAAGTTTACACCTATAATTTATGCAAGAAGATATGAAACGCCAACGCTAAGCAAGAGTGATGCTTAAAGGGTGTCGAAGTAGAACCTTAGTACAATTTCATGCAGTAAGCATCATGTATAGAAGAAAAATTGAATGTTCACTATGATCACAACAAAAAGGGTAGCAACACTACCGACGTTCAGCTATACATTTTCCCCTCGTCTCTCTGAACAAAGGAAGGATGTCCAGATCTTACATGGGTTCCACATAAATAGCAAATCCTCACACACAACACACAAACAAGTACCGCTAACACGTATCAATATATCAAGTCAAACCATGAGTTACTACTCCCTTGCCATTACATCCGCAGGAAGGCTGCAGTGCGTGGGGCGCCCGAAACCGAATCTGAAGTAACTGCAGTTCCCTGATCTCCCGTGTTAATCCCAAAAGCCTGAACTACTTGCGATCATCCCAACCAAACCCCCTCCACGCACCCAGACCTCTGGACCAGAAGACCCGGACTGCTGTAGCGCAGAATGCACTACTTTCTTCAACTCCAGCTTTGTAAAGGTCTCTTCTTCAGCAGCAACGTCATTCATCTTCTCAAGTTTAACAGGCACTGGATACTGTGTGGTAGGTGGTCCAAGCATTCCCCCACCATGAACACAGTGGTCCTGCACCAGGGCGCTGTGTGCAGCACAGAGACCAGTCTTGCCCCTAGCATACTTATCACAAAGCGTCTCGCCAACATCAAATTTTGAGCCCAGTTGACTCCATGTGCATCGTTTGCCTCCCCCATGCACTTTACAAAAATCGGTGCTCCCCTGTGCGCTCTTCCCACATCCTTCGAACTTGCACCGTTTGCCCCCACCATGGCGGACACAGAAACTAGTCCGCCCTCTAGCACTTTTGGGGCACCCGGCGACAGCACACCTCTTTCCACCACCATGTGCCACACAGAACGAGGTTCCCCCATGCACACTCTTTGGGCACACACCTCCACCCTGAAACGAGCACCGCTTCCCCCCACCATGTCCCTTGCAGAAGGGAGTGCTTCCCTCGGCCCCTTTTGTACACCGCACAACTGTACACCTCTTCCCTCCACCATGCGCCTTACAGAACAATGTGCTACCTTGAGCACCCTTTGTACATCCATGGAAATGGCAACGCCTGCCACCACCATGAGATATGCACAAGCCCGAGGAACCTTCTGCGCTCTTCGTGCAATTCTTGATTTGGCACCTCTTGCCACCGCCATGCCTGATGCATAAACCCGACTTCCCTCTTGCTGCACGAGTGCAACTCAGGTGGCTGCAGCGCCGACCGCCACCATGGGCAATGCAGTAATCGGTGCGACCTTCAGCACTCTTCGTGCAGCCAAGGTGTTGGCATCGGCGACCGCCGCCATGCGCTTTGCAATAGATTGTCCTGCCCTCAGCTCCCTTTTGGCACTCGGGTCGCTGGCACCTCCGTCCCCCACCATGAGCTATACATAAACTGGAAGCACCTCTTGCTCCTTTCGTACATCCATGGAACTGACAGTACTTTGTCCTGTTGTTGCGTTTATGGGAATCAGAAATCCCGGAAGAGCAGGCAACTGGGTTTTTCGACATTTGTGTCATGGTTGATGGGAAGTCTGGAAGAACTGCAATAGGATCAGCTTCAGTATGCATTCTCTTTTGGGGAGGAAAGTTACTGCTACCTGTTTCTGGGTTGGGCACGCAAGGTTGAACAAGACACTTCCCAAATATCCAGCAAGATGATGCTGATCCTTCTTCCTCACTAATCTGCACCGGACTTGCAATCACAGAAGACTCAAAACTATAAAGATGTTGGCCTGCAATTGTGTTGACATCTATTAGAGCAGACTCAGAAGACCCTGTTGATAGACTTAGCTGCAAATTGAGCATATCAACAGTATGAGGAGCCTTCAGAGTACCAACTGATGACTTGTTATAACTGAGCTTGTAACCATTGCCAATATGCAGCTTGAAACTAAATTCTGGGTTTGCAGGGGATTCCTCGTCAGTTTCCTTCACTGAAGATGTGGTGGAAAGACCTGCTGAGCTCATCTTGCTGACCACTGAGGAACTTGGTGACTGACCCAAACCCAGTGCAAGTAATGGATTTTCTGAACCTTCAACTCCAGTATTGTCATTCCACTTCCTTTTTGTCCCTTTTATGTTGGAATTATGCAGACTGGGATGTGAATCCAGAGGTAATTTGATACCTCCTGATTGCATAGAACTCCAAAAGCCAAATTTACTTAAAGAGGGGAGATCAACAGCAAAATCCATCAGAATGCTCTTGTCAATTACTGCTATCTTGAGAGGACCTCTCTATCAATAAACTTGATGGGATAGAAACCAGTTAGCCTGTCTTCCAAGACTCAATTTAACAAAACAATACTAAATCAGAAATACTTGAGTGAAAGCTTGCAGCCTCCACTAACAAAACCAGATGTATCATGGCGGTCCATTCTGCAGAACTTGAAGCTAATGCGAGGTGCTCAGTAATAGCTCAAGTTACAGAACAACATATGATACTTATTAGCCAATATTGTCATCAAACAATAGTGAAGCAGCAACAACTCCTGCAGCAGGAACAAGCATGTAAAAGGAAAATTGGCACCTGAAAAAAGGGAAAACATTATTGATATTCCATTATTTTTATCAAGAATTTTGATCTCAAAAGGCAGGATACATTCAGGATCATACCGAAGAGAGAACATTTCAACAAGTCTTGTCATACAGAAAAGAACAGATGCTAAGAAACCATGCAATCAAGCAGGTTCATATGGAATCCACCATAATGCACCTTAAACAATAAAACTACTGGATGCCGTGTCCATTAGCATACCATAAATTGCAAAAAGAGCTTCAGATGTGTTGTTTTTATAAGCTCCTCACTTATAAATGGATGACAAAATGTTGAAGCCTATATTACAATCATCTTTGACTCGAGCTATTGAATCATTCAAGGGACTTTAACCTGATGGCTTTCTTGTGAACATTTGTAAAAGCATATTTGATGAATGCCACCATGTTGGGACTCTATCCAAAGTTTGCTCATACTTAGAAGCAACTAATTGAAATATGCCAATAACAAGTAAATTAACAAATCAAAGTTTCTATTTTTAGAAAAAAGATAAGTGGTGAATGTGAGTTTTGATTTCAGGACCTTTTGGTAATTGACACTATTTACTAGTTAAGATAGCCAGTACCTTCTAATAAATAAAGGTCAGCAACAAACAGAAAATTGTAGCCTTAGAAAAACTATTTCACCAGGAATTAGTACAGGTTCATGTTTTTATGGTTCACACCAATATCAGATGACAATGCAAATAAGTACAGGAATCAGTACATTGGGTGACACTGGTGTCCACAAACCATTGGTCTCAGCACAGTACACACTACCAAAATCAGACGACAATGTAAATCCTATGAAAGGTATATTATATTTTAGGAAATTCTTCTGGACAAAGTTTTCTTTTTTCTTTTTTAAACAAAGAACACTCAAGATCTTGGTAGTAAAAGACTGAATTTTCACTCACAAAACTAGGACAATAGTCAAGCTTACGAGCATGCTTCATCAGAGTATTGGTAAAATCTGACAGATTAATGCAAAAGAGAAACAAGAATCCTAATGCTCAGAATGGTAAACATCAAATGAGTGATACGTCAAGGTTTCACTGTGCCGAGATATACAGCAACAGCATGCAAATTATATCTATAAAGATTGCTGGAGGAAAAACAAAAATCAAAGACTGAATTTTCAGATGTTGAGTGAAGTTTTGACTTTCATATCAATGAACACTAAAAGAAGCACAATGTAGCATGATTTGCCATTCAACAGAAACACCAGAAGAGAAGGGAAAGAAAATCACAGTCACATTTAGTGGAAAGCAAATAAATGCAAAAGTTGATTGTAGACAAATAATGTCTTGCAATTCTTCACATAGTAAAATGACATGAAAGGAAAGGAAAATTCTTAAGCAACTCAACTTAAAATAGTGCGAAGAGCGATTGTTGGTCTGAACAACTAAAGAACACATATCTCTACATCCAGAGAAAAGTTTAAATATAAGACATCTTATTCTGCACCATCAGAATATTACTACAGACCATGAATGATGTAGCCAGGTCAATAAGGGTAGAGCACCAACAAATGCTACAAGTGAATTACCAGATGCATGCAACAATAATAACTTAATTCATATGTCCATTTCAGAAATGTTACATCTGTTGAATCTCGGATTTTGATTATGAAGTCAATTGTAATTTGTTTGATCTAATCTATATGTTGAGAAAAGTGTGCAGGATTAACTACGATGACAGTAAGACATAAAGCAGGTGTTGTGCTGAAATCAAGATCGAGATCACATTGGGAGTTCGAGAGTTCGACGGAAGTCCGGATGTTCGACGGAAGTCCGGATGTTCGTCGGAAGTTCTGCGGGAACCAATCGAGAAGTCCAGGAGCTTGCCATAGAAGCTCGTCGGAACTCGCCAAGAAGATCGTCGTAAAGTCCGAGAGCTTGCCGAGAGTCCGTCGGAGCATTGCCGAGAGTTCGTCGGATGTTCGTCGGAAGCTCGTCGGAAGAGCAATTGACGCACCAGAACATGAAGTGCAGTAATCATGTCTTAATTATCGTAGTTAGAGCGTAAATTAAGTTAGGTTTGGGAGGTAATCCCACTAACTTAATTAGGGGCTAATTGGGCCCTAAGTTGGGCTAGTTTGGGCCGGATTCAAGGCCCAACCAGGACCCTGAATTCTTGGCCGACGGTGACACCGCCCGGGAGACTCGGTCTCCCAGGAATTCTGGGCGGTGGTACCGCAGGCAGTTATTGCTGCCAGCGGTGGTACCGCCCCTGTCAGGCGGTGGTATCGCCAGAGCTCGATCTTCGAGCTCTGTCAAGCGATGGTACCGCCCAGATTGAGCGGTAGTACAGCCCAGACTGAGCGATAGTATCGCCCAGTGTCAGGTGTTAGGCGGTAGTACCGTCTAATAATGGCGGTGGTACCGCCAGGACCCCGGAAATCCGGGATTAGACACTTTTTGGCTCCATTTTTGAAGCCATTGGGGCCTATAAAAACCCCACCCTTTCCTGCATGAAAGGGCACGAAACCTATTAGCATAATCTTGAAATCTTGAGCCTTAAAGTATTGTAAAAGTTAGACTTCTCCTCCTTCATCTCTTAGCCTTGTAACCATCCAAGAAAGAGGAGTGAGACTTGTAAGGGTTCATCTCCTAAACCCGGGAAAAGGAGAAAGTGCTATAAAGAGGTGTTCGATCTTCACCTATTAAAGGAAGGCCTTTAGTGGACGTCGGTGACCTCGTCGGAGGAGGAATCCGAAAGTGAGATGTAGGTCACCTTGACCGAATCACTCTAAAACTCGGTTTGCATTTACTTTGAGCAACTTTCTTTTATAGCAAACTGCCTCTCCTCCTTACTGTGCTTTAACTACGTTTACATATGCTTTCAAGTAAACACCTTCTAAGATCAGCTTTAATCGTACGAAGACTTTACGAAACCGACGCTTTTCATTTGTGCAATTTACATTACTGCAAATCACCTTAGTCTTCTCTTGCACTTTCACGAAAGCTTTCAAGTTCAAATTCTTTCCGAAACGGATTGAATCGAAACCATTCTCGTCGGAATCGGTTTTAATCGAAACAAGTTTTTTAAAATAACGAAAGTTTTCTGCTGCACTAATTCACCACCGCTCTTAGTGTCGCTCTTGATCATAACAATTGGTATCAGAGCCAGGTTCACTCTCATTTGGTTTTAAACCCAAGAGAGATGGCATTTGCCAACAACCTAGAGGGTCATTCAATTACACGTCCGCCCATGTTCAATGGGACGGATTACACATATTGGAAGACTAGAATGAGGATCTTCCTAATTTCAATGGATTTTGAGCTTTGGAACGTTGTCGAAAACGGTTTTCAAAAGTCTTCTCTTCCAATGAACGATTGGAATGAGTTGGAGAAGAAGACTTTTACTTTAAACGCAAAGGCTATGAATGCCTTATTTTATGCATTAGATAAAAATGAGTTTAATCGAGTATCGATTTGTGAAACGACTTTTGACATTTGGCACACACTCGAAGTGACTCATGAAGGCACTAGTAGAGTGAAGGAGTCAAAAATCAATCTTTTGGTGCATTCTTACGAGTTGTTTCGAATGAAACCGAGTGAGACCATTGGAGACATGTACACCCGATTTACGGATGTCGTCAATGGTCTAAAAGGACTTGGTAAAGGTTTCTCGGATTTTGAACTTGTTAATAAGATTATAAGATCCCTACCAAAAAATTGGGACCCTAAAGTAATGGTCATTCAAGAGGCCAAAGATTTAAATAACTTTCCTCTTGAATAACTAATTGAGTTACTAATGACCTATGAAATGACATGTAAAGCTCATGAAGAGCTTGAGGACACCCTTCCAAAGAACAAGAAGGATATGACACTGAGAACACAAGAATACCACTTGAAAGAAAACTCAAGTGATGAGGACTTTGATGATGATTTGACACTCTTAACAAGAAAGTTCAAAAGATTCATAAAAAGAAATAAATTTAAAAATTATACTAAAAATAAATTTGAACCCAAGAAAGATCAAATAATATGCTATGAATGCAAAAAACCAGGACACTACAAGAGCGAATGTCCCCGAGCCAAGAAGAGGACACCAAAGAAGAAGGCTCTCAAAGCAACATGGGATGACTCAAGTGAATCCGAAGAAGAGGAGCCAACCAACACCAAGAAAGTTGCTCACCATGCTCTAATAGCTATTGGAGATGAGGTAACAAGTTCAATTGATGCAAATTTATCATTTGATGAACTATTAAATACTTTTCATGATTTATTTGATGAATGCAAATCAATTAGTAAAAAATATAAATTGTTAAAAAAGGATCATGATTCTCTTGTTAGTGATTTCGATAAATTAAAAATTGAGCATAATGATAGTTTACTCTATGTACGAAATGCCATGAAGTAGAAACAATTATAAAGGATAACTTGCTACTCAAAGATACCTTAGAAAAATTTGAGGTTGGTAGCAAGTCCTTGAACATGATCCTTGCCAATAAGGGTCATGTTCATAAAAGAAATAGAATCGGATTTATGAGTAGCTCTCACCAAAATCCAACCACCTTTGTTAAAGGCCCTATCTTGCATATTTCACCCCAAAACAAATGCAACTTTTGTTGCAAACTTGGAGATGTAGTTTATCATTGTCCATTTAAGAAGTGTAGCCAACACAAATTAATTTGGGTTCCTAAAGGAACCATAAAGAATTCTATGCAAAATGATAAGTTAAGCCAATCGATTTTTGAGGCACCCAAGGTCAAATGGGTACCTAAAAATCATCCTTTTTTGTAGAAACGTTTACCATCACAAGCTAGGAGCAAGAGATGGTACCTTGATAGTCAAGGCATATATCTCAATTCTCTAAGCTCACTAGCATAAACGAAGGATATTTCACATTCGAAGACAACAACAAGGGTAAAATCATTGGCAAATGAACCATAGGTAACAAATCCAACTTCTTTATTGAAAATGTGTTGTTAGTTGATGGCTTAAAGCATAACCTCTTGAGCATTAGTCAATTGTGTGATAAAGGGTA